TGTTGAGCCCTCCCCCTTCCCAGCATGCATGTGCTGGTGGCCACCAGATCTGAGTCTCCATCAAGCTGGCAAGCGCTGTATGCCACGACCTGGTGATTTTGCCCTACCCAACATTCTGACACACCCAAGCCACTTCCAGTGGCTTTTTCATACAAACTGCCTGCCTTGGCTCATGTTACAGACTTCCCTAAGGTCTCTCAAAGGTTTGCAGAACCCAGACAAGAAGCACCTGGCTTGAGCATATTCCATCCCTCCGGCTGAGCAACCCTAAGCCAGGCACTAGTGGTAGCCATCTGTGGATTGCTTTGTGGCTCCTGCTGGGTGGCTCTGGGTGGAGCATGGGCTTCGGCTGAACTTAACTTGCAGCAGGTCCCCTCCCAGGTGGCCCTGGAGCTGGCGTGCTCAAGGGCCAGCTTTGAAATGAGCTGGAGCACCACCCAGCCACCTGCAAGGAGGACACACCCAAGGGGCAGATTGGGCAGACACCAGAGCCCTGCTGAGGCAGATCCTGCTCTGTAGGGTCAGTCCCTGCACCACAACTCCTCCACTGTAGTCAGGGCCAGTCCTCACAACTAATGATTCCAAGGGTCAATCCCTCCTATTAATGTGCAAATAGCAACCAAGGCTCAACTACTAGAGGAGGGTGTGGCTGAGGTGACCAGGAAGACTGCACCACTGAGCCCCACAGAACACCTACTAGATAAGGCCACTCTACTAAGACTGGGAGACACAGCAGCCCTTTCTAATACATAGAAACAAACACAGAGGGGCAGCCAAAATGGGGAGACAAAGAAACATGTCTCAAATTAAAGAACAACAAACCTCCAGAAAAAAAAAAATGGAGATAAGCAATCTACCAGAGGCAGAGTTCCAAACACTGGTTATAAGGATGCTCAATGATCTCAGGGAGAACTTCAACAAAGAGATAGGAAACAGAAAAAATGGAGATAGAAAACATGAAAAAGAACCAGTCAGAAATAAAGGATACAATAACCGAAATGAAGAATACATCACAGGGAATCAACAGTAAATTAGATAAAGCAGAGGGTCGAATCAGCAATTTAGAAGATAAAATAGGAGAAAACACCCAATCAGAACAGCAAAAAGAATAAAGAATCCAAAAAAAATGAGGAGAGTTTAAGGGATCTCTGGGACAACATCAAACATACTAACATTTGCATTATAGGGGCACCAGAAGGAGAAGAGAGAGCAAGGAATTGAAAATCTATTTGAAAAAATAATGAAGGAAAACTTGCCTACCTGGTGAAGGAAATAGATATACATGCCCAGGAAGCACAGAGAGTTCCAAACAAGATGAACCCAAAGAGGCCAACATTAAGACACATCATAATTAAAATGCCAAAGATTAAAAACAAAGAGAGGATCTTAAAAGTAGCAAGAGAAAAGCAGTTAGTTACATAGTGAGGAGCTCCCATAAGACTCTCAGCAGATTTCTCAACAGCAACTTTGCAGGCCAGAAGGGATTGGCACAAAATATTCAATGTGATGAAAAGCAAGGACCTACAACCAAAATTACTCTACACAGCAAAGCTATCATTTAGAATCGAGGACAGATAAAGAGCTCCCGGACAAGAAAAAGCTAAAGGAATTCATCATCACCAAACCAGTATTACAAGGAACTGTAGAGAGGCTTCTTTAAGATGAAAACAATAAAATAAAAACTATGAATCATAAATGGCAATAACTACATATCTATCAACAATTACTTTCAATGTAAATCAATTAAATGCACAAGTTGAAAGATGGGGGCTGAATGGATAAGAAAATAAGACCCTTACATATGCTGCCTACAAGAGACTTCAGATTGACAGACACACACAGACTGAAAGTAAAGGGATGAACAAAGATTTTTTTCATGAAAATGGAAACAAACAAACAAACAAAGCTAGGTTAGCAATACTTATACTAGACAAAATAGATTTTTTTAAAAAGGCTACAACAACAGACAAAGAAGTACCTAGTAATCCCACTTCTGGGTATCCAAAGAAACCCAAAATGCTACTTTCATGGGACATGCTCATTCATATGTTCATTGCAGCATTATTTACACTAGCCAAGATATAAAGCCAACCTGGATGTCCCTGAATGGATGAATGGATAAAGAAGAGTTGGTACATATACACAATAGGATATTACTCAGCCTAAAAAACAGATTGAAACCTTGCTATCTGCGACAACATGAATGGACCTAGAGGTTATTGTGCTGAGTATAGTAACTCAGACAGTAAAAGACAAATGTCATATGATTTCACTTATAAGTGGAATCTAAAGAACAAAATAAACAAATGAAACAGAAACAAACTCATAAATACAGAAAACATTTTGACTCGGGTTGGGGGTAGGTGAAAAAGGGGAAGGGATTAAAAAGTAGAAGTTGGTTGTTACACAGTAATCATGCAGATGTAGGGCATAGTATAAGGAATATAGTCAATAATATTGTAATAACTATGTATGGTGTCAAATGGGTACTAGATCTATTGGGGTGATAGATGGGAGGGGGTTGGGGGTAAGGTGAAAAAAGGTGAAGGGATTAAGAAATACAAATTTGGTAGTTAGTTATAAAATAGTCATGGGGATGTAAAGTAAAGTATAGGAAATATAATCAATAATATGGTAATAACTATGTATAGTGCCAGGTGGGTACTAGTCAGGGGGATCACTTTGTAAATTATATAATTGTCTAACCACTATGCTGTACACCTGAAATTAATATAAAAATAATATTAAATGTCAACTGTAATTAAAAAATTTAAAAAGGGGGGAAGGGAGAGTTGAAGGAGAATGAGAGGTTCAAAGTTCCAGGTCTTGGTGATGTAATATACAGCATAGGAAATATCGTCAATAATATTGGGATAGCATGGTACAATTTCAGATTTTTGCTAGACTTATAATGGTGATCACTTCTTTAGCATATAATCAATAATGTGGTAACAACTATGTATAGTGCCAGGTGGATATTGTTGAATAACTATGATGTACACCTGAAACTAATATAATATTGTATGTTAGCTATATTTTAATAAAAATCTTAAAAAAATTCATCCCTTCAGTGCTGCTAAAGCCATGCTCCTTCAACTCAGATTTTTCTGATCATTGGAGCTGAGATGTCTCCGTTTTCAGTCATCTGGTGGCCTTTAATGCTCTCTTACGTGACTTCCTAATCATGGTTTCTTAAATCTGCATGGGGATTTTCAGGTTATGAAACACAGTCACATACTCTACCTCATACGATTTTCACAATAACTCTGATAACAGATGTTAATTATGTTCCTTTTATACTCATGGACACTGAAAGACAGGGATGCTAATTGACTTGCTGGGTCCAAGACCCCCATTTGGTAAGTAGCAGAGGCTGGAAAAACCAGAACCTTGGTCTCCCAATTAAGGAGATTTCCATATAACCTTCTCACCCTATTTCTACCTGGGATGCATAGCTCTCGTATGCTTCTTTTCAACTCTAACGTGCTGTGACACCATTAGCATTCCTTCAGCATTTTCTTTATCTAAACTACTTTGGCAAATAAATTACTAGATAGTTTACTTTAGGGTGTTTCACATTAGGAGGTTATTGTGATGACCTTAGTAAAAAAAAATTATATATATAAATATACTTTTTGCATTTAATAGAGCCTGGGATTGTTTTATAACAGCAACTTAATAAACACGGGCAATTTATAACTACATTTTAATAAGAAGGGAGCCAAATACTCGCAAGGTCCACAACAATTTCTAAGCACTGACAACTGATTGCTTAACTTAGTTGGGATGCCTCTCTTCTAAAAACAAAAGTTTAGGTTTTGTCACATTTCCTCACTAGACAGGTTCCTTTTCTGATGTCTAAGGAGATAAAATATTAATACCAGCTTATGGGGAACTTGTTTACTCTCTTAGAAGAGAAAGCACCATTCTATAATGAAAGCAAAATGTCTAGTGACAGGGAAGAGCAAATTCAGTTGTCAAAAGAGACTGGAGAAAAAGAACTGAGACTGTCACTTCAACTGAGATGTTGCCCATGAGTCTAAGCAACTAAGACGTCTTGTGGGAAAGCCAAAAACAGGAAGAGAAGGCTTCTCATTGAAGTTGTTTACCTATTTGAAGTTCAAAAGAAGGAAGGGAAGATGCAGCCTCAAAATCTGCATAATAGTTATAATACGCTTTTTGTACTCAATTTATGGCTACAATGGGACAATCAGTAAGCATCTCAACAGTCCCTTCTACAGGCAACTAGCTAAACTGAGGGTTCTGGAGCTTCGAGCCCTGTATGGGATGGGATGTCTTACCTTAGGCGCTCAACAAGTGCACATTAATGATGGTGGTGGTGGTTTGGGGTGTGAGTGGGGTGAATATAGCCTGAGGTAGGGCATTTTTTCAGGTGGAAAATGCACCCTCCAGGACTACTTGTCCAAAACCCCTTGGGAACAAAGTGCAGAGCTAATGGCTGGGGGATAGAAATTGATTAAGCGACAGGCACTGTGTTAGACCCTTGACACGCTTTCTGCCATTTAGGCAGCAACACCATGAGGTAGAGATATCAGTGTTCCCACTTCACAAGTAAGCAAAAAGACTCAGGCAGGGGTAGTGACTTTTCTCACAGTTAAGAAGTTGCTAGGATTTGAGCCCAGGCTTGTCGAATTTCCAAACCCCTTTCCTTGCACAAGGAGAAACTCCATGCTCTGCTCTAGCCAACCTTTGTTAATAATATACAAAAACCAGGGATTTCGTGCAGCGCCCATTTAGCATCTGCGCCCTCCTCTGCCCTGGGGGCGACATAAGCCCCTGCAGAGGGGGACCTCAACATTTACCCAGAGGCAACCAGGGGTCAGGTACACAGAGGGGATCCCAGAGCCCCATGCCCTCGTCATCTCGCGCGCGCTTAACCCACTGGAAGCGACACAACAACAGCCCAGCGCGGCGCGAGTCCGCTGTGCTCCGACTGTGTTGCCCCCTTGGGCCGCTCCCCACGCCCGCCCGCGTCTCACCCCAGGCCGCCGGCAGCTCGAGCAGCACCAGAACCGCTAGGAGGGCTCCTCCGGAGCAGGAGAGGGGGGGCGCCAGCAGCCGGAGAGGCACCGGGCTCCTCCGAGTAGAGGCTCCCATCTTCCCCAAGCACTTCTAGGAACCCGATGCGATCTGGAAGAAAATCGAAGTCATGGGAACGCTCAACCAAGAGAAGAGACCACACGCAAAGCTGAGCGCCCTGGGGAGCTGAGGAGCGCTGCTGGGGTTCCGGGACAAAAAGCTTTTGACCACAGCTTCCTCTTAATGGGACAGGTCTTGTTTACTTGCACTTTGCATTGTTTCTAGCGAGCCTCCTTCCCGAAGACACCTCAGGGACTCCCATACAGGAACAAAGTCTGGGAATTCTTCAGCTCCTTGGTGTGGAAGTTCCCCATGTGTGGCTGGGCAGTTCCAGACAAAGGTGGTGGATTCTCGCAGCTCAGCTCCCACCCACCTCTGCCTGACCTTTGTCCTTTGCAAGAATCCATGTGGGTAGGTCAGCTAATGAAATGCCTGCTGTGTGTGTATGTATGAGACAGTTGCAGACAAATACACAGTGTACAGTTCAGGGACTATGAAGAACACATTTCTTTATATTGAGTTGTGTATACCCAGCCACTGGAAGGTTTCAAAGTGTTTTCATCAAATTTGCATTTTAAAAATCGAATTCTTCTGTAATACGGAGACTGGATTGGCATAAAGCAATAGTAGCTAGAGAGGCCAGAAAGGAGGCTATGATGATCCCGTTGAGATTTGATGGTGGCTTTGAATGGGGATAAAGTGAACAATTAAAAAAGATAGTGGAGATGGACTCAACGAAATTTGCTTGTTCATTGGATTTTGGTTATTTCCTTTCGGAAAGTTAATGGTGAGAAAAAGAAAGGACTCCATAAGTAGTCCCAGGATTCTAAATGAATGGTTTACTCTCTATTGAAATAAAAATGTATGTGAGAGGGACAAGTTTGGGGAAGGGGATTAAGAATTCAAGGATGAGAGAATTGGGGGTGTGTGACTGGCTGAGTAATGGCCCCCAAAGATGTCCATGTCCTAATCCCCAGAGCCTGTGAGGTTTTGCAGATGTGATTAAATTGAGGATCTTCAGAGGGGGAGATTACACTGGATTGGCAGTGGAATGACAGGATGCTTGTTAGAGGGAGGTGTAGTAGATCAGAGTGAGAGAAGGCAATGACTGAAGCAGAAATTGAAATGATGCTGCCATAAACCAAGAAATGATAGCCACCCCTAGGAGCTAGAAAAGGCAAGTCAGGAGTTCTACCCTGGAACTTTTGGTCCTGTCAACACCTTGGTTTTAGTCCTGTGAGACTCATTGTGACTTCTGACTTCCAGAACTATAAAAGAATAAATCTGTGTCATTTTAATCATTTAATAAGGTAATTTGTTTCAGCAGCAACAGGAAACTAATATGGGGTAGGGAGGGTTGCTTGGTCAAGGGAGAGTGTCAAAGTTTCTTTGAGTTTTATTATCTAAAGGAGAGTTGAGCATGAGACAGGTGGAATTTAGTGAAGAAGTCCAGCGGGTGTGAGAATACTCTAGGAGAAGTTTGGGAATATAGGTAGATTGTTGATTATAAAGCTGGACTTCCAGAAAGGCTCAACAAGAAGCATTTTGAAAGGGAAACGAATGGGTTAAAATCTCAGGAACTGGTGGAACAGTTAAAGGACAACAAGGAGAATAAGCAATAGGAAGATTAGGATTGAAACATATAAACCACATCCATGCAAAAGTTTTCAATATTTTTGTGTATCATGGACTTCTTTGTCTGTTTGGTCAAGCCTATGGATCCCTTCTCAGAATTATTTGGAAATGTGTAAAATAAAAGTGCATGGGATTACAAAGGAAACTGAAAGCTAATTGTAGCCATGAACCTTTGGAGGTCTATGGCCCCTGAACAAGAACCCCAGATTTAAAAATTAGTACGAACAAGAGTTCAGTTGTTTCTAAAGCAAGAGTTGTGTGGAATTCCAAATATTAAATGCTGTAGAGAGGAGAGTAGGAAGAGGCTTGAGAAGATACTGTAGCAGATATTACAGTAAATGTGTTAGCTCTCTTCTCCATGCATAGTTATGACTCATGGTGAAGAAAGACACTCAAGGTGGAAAAGTATTCTCTACTCCATGCAGCTCACAAATGGAGAACCACAGTCCAGCAAACTATGGCACTCAGCATGTACAGCCTCAGCTCACACCAAGATTCTAGAATACTGCCTCACTTTATTTGTCCCTCTTACTCAAGTCTCAGCTCCTATCCTCACTAGTTGAGAAAGGACAGCGTTCCAAAAGCCATGCATGTTTCTTATTTTCTATTAGTTTCCATTAAGCTCTCTTCCAAGACTGCTGCAAGAAATACCTACTTTGACCATATCACACATCAAATCTCCTTTGTAACACACCCAATACCATTCTTTCAAGGATCTGATATCATCCTTTCAAGTTATTCTCAACAGAGCAATGGAAGAAGAAGCCAGATCATAGCAAGCTGAGGTTAAGGGAACAGAAAATTCAATATCCCAGCCTAACAGCACATGCTATAAGAATATGCCACTCATTAGAACTTCTTTTGCACTAATCTCCTAGCATATGCTTTCTCCCCTCATTCCCTGAAGGTTTTCTTAGCTCACAGAAACTTTCTGTACTCTTAATCTTGACATAGTTCTCAGTGATTTGGCATTCACAACGATGATATTTTCCAATGCCTGGCTTTTCAGCACCTTGATCTCCTCTGCCAATGATCTTATCCTCCACTCTACTGGCCACTTATGATCATGACCTTACCTTAGATCGTGTCCTCGTTAATAACCCCTCCAGAATTTCGAACATCCAACTCTCCAACCACCAATCCTGTCTTTCTAGTTGGCACTGAGTCCAACAATCTTTGTATTTCTCAGTACCTATAACCCATTGATCTCACCACCATCTTTCAGTCTCAAACATCCTTACTGTCCTCATGTTCACCCTTTTGAGGTTAAATTCCATGGTCCATCATTATAATCACTATCTTGTATACAACCTCAGTTTCCTTGCCCTTCTCTCACTTTATTATATTCATTAGACAAACGACCATTTTGGTTAGAGTTAATTCTCCATAATTTTGACCCTGTGCCCATGAAGCTGAATGTGGCTGGAGAAAAATATATATTCATGATGACTAGTCTTACTCGAATGATGACTGATTTCAAATGGACCATTGTCATGCTGCCAGCTATTCCCACTATATTTCCTAGTCCATTTATTCTCTCATTCTCCTAAGTGACTGTTTCATGTTTTATTTAGATATTAAACTCAGACATCTTCATCATTCTTAATCTTTGTTTATAGTTTTGCTTCTTTTTTTCAGAGAAAATAGAAGCAATCAAAGGCAATGTCCACACACTTCATCCAAAGACCTGTATCTTGCCTGTATAGCTTCCTAAGCTCCTGTTAGTATGGTTATACTGTTCACATCCTTATCTCAGGCTAAACTCTCCACTAGTGCCTGCATTTGATCTGCTGTCACTTGCTCAAGGGCATCACTCCAGGAATTCTCACTCTCTCCAGAGTCATTATTTTCCCTTTTCTACTGGATTTTACCATAAGTGGGCAAACATATTATTTTTCCAAATACAGCAGGCATAATCCCCTTTTTTCCCTTCTACTGTTCCTTTTGTTGGGACCACTTACTGACTAGATCTCCATCTGCATGGCTCCCTCCCTCATCTCCAGTTCTTTTACTCAAATGTGACCCCACAATAAAGCCTTCCTTGCCCACTATTAACAACTGCACATTCATTCAGA